TTAATAATACCATAATAATACTGAAATAATATCGTAATAACACAACAATAATACTGAAATAACACCATTTGAAAATACTACCACAATCGTCACAATACCACTCAAATAATACAACAATAAACATCAATAACACCGCAATAACTGCACTAAAAATATCGCAATAACACCAGCCCGCGAAAATCCGCAATCTCCAATAACTCCAAAAAAATCGCAATAACACTCAAATAACACCACAATAAAACTATAATAATACATCAATAACACCAAAATAACCCACAAAAATGCAGCAATAACACGCAGTAACACTGCAATAATGCCACAATATTGCATCGATAATTACTTGGCTGGAATTTTTTTGTGGTGTTATTGACTTCGGACCGCGGTCCTATTGACATTATTTTGCAGTATTATTAGAGTCGAATAACGGTCTTGTTGGTGTGCGGCGATTTTGTGATGTTATTGATATGCATTGAGGTATTATTGGAGCGCAACCTAGGTATTATTGCGATGTTATCGAAGTTGTGCGCAGTTTTATTGGAGTTTTTTTGTGGTGTTATTGGTGCATTTTTTCAGGGGATTTCATTGTTATTGAAGTGATACAATGGTATTATGGGAGTGTTTACTTGCGTGTTACTGCGGTATTATTGGCGTGAATTTGTGACGACCATTTCAGTGTTATTGAGGATATTATTGCAGTGTTTTTGCGGTGTTATTGAGAATGTTATTGTGGAGTTATTGCGGTATTATTGCAGTTGCATTGAAGTTGTATTGCAGTGGTATGTTTATATTACTGTGGTTATTGCGACTGTATTGAGGTTGTTATTGCGGTTGTAATGAGATGTTATTGTGGTTGTATTGAAGTTGCATTGTCATGTTATTGCAGTGGTGTTATTGCGGTTGAACTGAGGTTGTATTGCGGTGGTCCGTTTATGTTATTGTGGTCATTGCGGTCGTATTGAGGTTGTTATTACGGTGTTATTGCAGTTGTGATGAGGCGTTATTACGGTTGTACTGAAGTTGTATTGTCGTGTTATTACGATGAGGTGTTATTGCGGTTGAAATGAGGTTGTATTGCCGTGTTCTTGCAGTTAGGTGTTATTGCCATGTTATTGTAGTATTATTGAGATTATTGTGGTTGAATTGAAGTTGTTATTGTGGTGTTATTGCATTGCCATGTTATTGTAGTATTATTGAGATTATTGTTGTTGAATTAAAATTGTTATTGTGGTGTTATTACGGTTGTATTGAGATTGTATTGTGTGTTATTTTTATGTTATTGTTGATGATGTGGTGTTATTGAGGTTATTGTAATTGTATTGAGGTTGTTATTGCAATGTTATTGTGGTTATATTGAGATTGTATTATGGTGGTATGTTTACATTATTGTGGTTGGAGCGGCGTTATGGTTGTTGTATTAAGTTATTATGTGGTATTATCTTGGTGATATTGCTGTGTTTTTTAGGTGTTATTGATGTGTTATAGTAATGTCATTGGGGTTATATTTTAATGTTATTGGAGGATTTTTGCTGTGGTATTGTCATAGTATTCTAAGGATTTTAATAAAGAGATGAAGCACACTTAACACAGTAATGATCAGAAAATCAGACAGAAAAGTCAGTTACAAATTTAGCATTCATAGATAACATCGTTCTAAATCCATCAAAGTATCACTTATATATCTGACATTGCCCAGACAAAGTTCATAAGCAAATTCTGTTCTAAATTTTGAAAAATGTGTACCTAAAAAATACTGGATATTATGATTCAGGTTAGCAAAAATATAATACCCTATGCAGGAGTGGGCCAACATACTTTCCTTTAAATGGGTTAGTGGTGTAAACTCAATATAGGTTGGGAATAATAAGAGGTAAATATGATATGATATGAGTGTCGACAGATTGAGGTTTACAACTCCCATGTACTATACCACCGAATTGACTGCTCAGATAATTTTACTGACATGACATGATATGATATTGTACATGTTTTATTATGATTGCTACAAAAAAAATACCACATGATCAACCAGAGAACCTAACTAGCAAAGTATATGTGTGATGGTAGTTATACTTACTACTGTTATTCGACAATATATTATGATTACATTTGTTACATTATACAGAAGCATGTTAAGTGACTTAAAAAAATACTTATTAACATAAATGTGATGAATAAGATGCAGTCATGCATATTATTATATTTTTTGTGCATTAAATTCAGTTGTAAGTTTTGTGTAACCTACTGAATTGTTCGTTCACTCTTGTTGCATTTATATATTTTTAGGAAATGGTAAGTCGCAAGTGGAGTGAGCTGATAGTACTTGTTGAAAGAGTTACATTTTATATATATATTTTTTTTTTGTGATCATTGAAAATCTACATGTTTTGTTAGGATTATTAAACAACTATGATCCTTGTATATAATATCTTGGATGTAAACAACTCTGATGCATATAGAAAAAAATATGATAATGATAATTTTTGGCTTTATTTTCATATTATTATTGATGAATTAGTTGCTTTGTATAATAAATATTAGAAGATAAAATAAATTCCTTTAAAATAGACCTTGGGCTATATATCTGTTGCATACTTAATTTAGTACAATTTATGGGATATATCAGATCGAGTTGTTACACTACAAGCTAAACATTTATAATCAAATGACAAGCTCTAATTGAAGTTTTTCCCACATCATCACGTGGGATAATTAACCATAAGAACATAAGCCTACAAGAAATCTAGAATCAAATTATAAAATCATGGCAAAATGAGACTAAAATCTATGAGTTGTCTTATCTAAAAATTTAACCTTCATTCTAAAATAAGATCATAAATTCTCTCAAAAGAGTCAAGCATGAATTTTCATAAGCCACAATGTGCTAAGAAAGCATAAACATGTAAAATAGAGTAGAACTAGCGTGGGAAATTTTTAAAATTAAAATATAAGTTATCAACCTTTTTGGCCTCTTGGTTAAGCATTTCAAGCCGGTGATATAAACTGTGTGACCTATGCTAACTCTTCCAAGAGACCTGCAATAGCAAATTTTGAAAATGAGTACGCGTGAAAGATAAAACATAGAAACCACACCGAATTGAATGGCAGGTAAAAATCTACAGCAAAATACTTGCATCTTTAAAGAGAAGGAAAAAAAATGAAAAACTGAAAGCATTATCTAAGAAATATTAACAAAACTGACGTTTAAATAAAAACTGCACTAAATTAATTCCTACCAGGAAACATAGAAAATTAAAATTTATCTAGAAAAAAAAAAGAAATGTATCAGGTATAGCAAAATTTTAATTCTTGTTCTGGTCTCAACTCAAATTATGCGATTTTGAGAGCTTGATTTATAATCTAATACTTTCAACTCGACTTTTTGAGAGGCTGATTTGTAATCCATCACTTTCAACTCGGCTTAGCTGACTCTGCCAAATTCATTTTTTAGGTTTCAAGTTGAGGTTAGCTCACTCGAACTCGATTCAATACCCAATAAGCTTAAAATGCAAATTTTAATTAACCTAAGAAGCTATAATTCAGTAATTGTGGCAATAGCTACAAGGCAAAAAAAAAAAAGATTTAACTAGGATAATTAACTCTAAAATAGGTTACTTATCAATTAAATGGATTTTTACAATAATTTCATATAAAATAATTATTTTTATCATGTTAGTTGTCAAACATGTTTTCTAAATTTGCTTCTGCAAATAAAATTAAGTAGATTTTTCAAACATATTTTTAAATTTTAAGCAAAACAAAAATACAACAAAATTAATAAAAAAAAGGGATAATTATATGCATATCATTTGAAACACTGACAAGTGATTTTTTTTAGGCTATCGAACGAACATTTATGCATACCACAATCAAAGAAATCATAGGGAATTAATAACAATGAAAAATATAGTTGGGTTTCTATTATGAATTTTAAATTTTGAGTGAGAATCTGAAAAAATGGATTAAAGAGGGTTGTAAATAACAATGTTCCAAGTGCTATGTATGGCCAAAAAAAATTATTGAGGAAAATACCAGCAAATAGTTTTACCATGATCCGACAAAGTGCAGCTTTGCTACAATTGCTCCTGTCGCATCTTCGATAGTCATGGAAATCACAGTGTCTGCACATTCTACCTCTCTTTTGATATCTGTAACAGATCCGTAAAGGCTGATTCCAGTCATTTTATCACTAAGATCGCTCACATATGCCTACAAAGCTTTAAAAGTTAAAAATGATTATTCATAGAATTTGATGGGGGCAAGTTAAGATTGCAAGGGTCAATGTAAAAAAGTTAGGTTGACAAGCATGATAGTTTTCAGTATTAGATACCAGACCGTACTTCTTTGTAAAGATAATAACAAGATGGGGAATTTACATACATGTCACCAAATTCCTATGTATTTACATATCTAACACTTTAACTTTATTAATTAATTTTATAACATCCAAACTTCCTATGTATTTACATATCTAACACTTAAACTTTATTAAATTTATAACATCCAAATCTTCCGTATCACATAAAAATAGCACCCTTTTAATTTTTAAAAAGTGAAATACAGCTTTTCAAGTATTGGTAAGGTGGTATGTATAAGACATGTAAATAAATAGGAATTGAGTGATATTTCTCATAATTCATATAAAATCATTTAAAATTATCACATTAAACACATTGCATCTACTATGTATTGCTATAGTAGTTTTTTATAGGACCTTTCCTACAATATAATTTTATGTGCAACATGTCATCACACACACAAAAAGATAAATATCTACTTCACTGCAACCACATAAATGATATCATTTATTCTACGAAATGAAAATGAATCATATATTATAATCATCCTAAATGTCTGAAATAGATTGAAAGGTGATAATCATCAAATGAATAAATGAATGGTCATCAAAGGAGTCGCCTCTTTTTAGTATTAGTTATTATATCCGTGCACGAAAAAAATAGAAAAGGTTGTACCTTCATTGGTACAAAATTTTGATAGTACTCTTGAGATAACTCATTAAATAAAATATAAACAAAATATACAAATGTTCTTACATAAGAAAAAGTTAAAATATAAATATGAGAAATTAAAACATCAAAGTTTTATCATTTTAAGCATTACATTTGTTAGGGCATATGCATAATAAGTAGTATAATGTAGAACTATAATTATTCATTAGATTTCTATTAAATTTATTCTATTATTCAAATAATTTTTCAAGAAAATCTCTATTGAATTAAAATGATTGACAAAAGAGATTGAGTTTATAGGGAATAGTTAATACATAGTATTATTTATATTTTTAGTTATTGTTTTCTTAATATTGTTACATACTTAGTGTTCTTATGCGTTTGGTTTGAATGATATATTATATATTTTATGGTTTAGTGGATTTTTTATTGTTGGATGTTATTATGGATTGTTATATGTATGATAGAATTGTATAATTTTACAATCCCACAATCCATTCCCGTCTTAAGAATTTCAATCTCATGAGTCAAGTGTGATAGTTTTTTATTGTCTTCTATGATGGAAAGTTGCTTTTAATAATCAAATTTACTATATTGTATTAGTTGTAAAAAAGATTTTCCTATTTTTTCAAAAAAAAAGTATTTATTTACAATATTCATAATAGCTTTAAAAAGTTAATTTCTTCACAATGTCACAACCACCTTTATAAGAAGCTTAGTAGGCCCAACCAAACCCTAATAAGCCATTAAAGTAGCATATGAAGTACAAGAGATTGGGATTCCATTTGTCATGTAGGTATAGCACATAATAATAAAATCTCACTTGAGTGGAGTGCCAACTAAATCAATAAGACATGTTTACTTCTCACAGAATTCAATTCAAAGCAGTAAAAATAAATTGTAGAATTGCAACCCAAAGTCAAAAAAATTAGCAGTCTAACGCAGAATTTTACATGGGAATCATGTGGCCCAAGCAATTCAATATTGATATTCTTAAGAATTTTTTTGTTACTCATCCAACATAAAAGAGAAGATAAAGTAAAAAAGGATAAACGGACTCACTCGGAATGGATAACCGCTGAAGTCAATCGAACCTTGAGGATTTAGTGGCAACACTACCTGGGAAGCTTTGCTTTGACTCTGATTTTGGGTGCAGGAATTTGAACCTTGAAACCTCATTTGTGTGGAAGTTAAATGTACCTATCAGTATATAATTTTGTGAGCTATTTAACAGTATATTCTTCTGAAACTTCGTAAACCAGAAAATAACCTGTTCCTCGTGTTGGATATATGGAACCAAATATAATTGTGTCACGCTACCATATTCCAGGCAGAGTTCTTCACTCGTCCCTCCGTCATCGAGAGCACTTGCAATGAAAGGCGCGTCCAATGCAAGCATTCCACCAATACTGGGAATTGAAAAGCAATGTAAGAGGTGGGTGATTAGAAAATAGGAAGGTTTACATATGCACACCACTCAATTCCTTTGTATTTAAATATCTAACACCTAAACTTCAATTTTTACACATACCACCTTACCTATGCATGAAAAGGTGTATTTCACATTTTAAAAGTTAAAATAATGATAGTTTTGATGTGATATGAAAGATTTAGGTTGTATAATTTTAAAAAGTGAAGTTTAGGTGTTAGATGCTCTCTAGAGAATAAGGCAAGTAAGTCTAGATCGGTAGAACCATAGACCTGAAAAGATTGGCTAGGATAACTTGTTCGCCCCATAATAGAAACTTTATCTTTGCACCTTCATTATCAATCAAGATAATCTGCTTTCTCTGTAAGCTTCCAAGAGCGCCGTGAGCTTCCAATGAGCCAATAGACTCGATCCTTGAGACAAGAAGCCATTAAATGATTTTAAGTAAATAAAAGGATAACAAGCGCGAGTATTAAAGAATTAGTTCATACATATCCTTTATTATGAAGAACAGCTTTACTTTGGGTATAAATTCATTACAAGAATTAAAAACTGATGTGAAGCTCCTATTGCTTATACATACATAAATGTATGCAAGCTGTGCATGAAAATATACAATGAAGCAACGCTTACAAACAATCAATGACCCGGTCATCATATTTCATCACCATGAACCTTATAAATATTTGGGTAGGCTTTATGAATTCACATTTTTCATTTGTTGATATTGAGTGTTGCTTGATATGTTAACATATTCTTCATTAATCTTTTCTGAACAACTTTTATCCACAATTCACATTAGCTCAAGTTTACTTTTCCTCCTAATCCTCCAACATTAATTATATACCATCTAATCAGTTTTTCTTTTTTCTTTGTTATAAATGTCCAAAAAACCTAAGTTTCTTTTCATTTCCTTATTTTCAACAGATGTTATTCATCTCCTCCTCTAAAATAATCATTCCTTAATTTATGTTTTCTAATTTTTCCATACATCCATTTTAACATTCACAATTACGTCATCCCAAAAAAATCACTAAGCTAATTGAACCAAGCACCTGATCTGAAGTATGTCTTCTCATTTTGCTATCTTTCGGAACAATCTTTCTGCCCAAACTACCCATACCAACAACACTACCCATTAAGCAAACAGTACTTTCCCAAAAGCGTCATCCCAAAAA